ACGGTGACTCATACCTTCCTGCATGTACCAGATTGCCCCTACCCCCTGCTAGGACGGGACCTTTTAACCAAGCTTGGAGCACACATCTATTTTGAAAATAAGGGAGCCAAGATTACTGATTCTAAAGGAGCACCTATACAAGTGCTCACCCTTAAATTAGAAGATGAATATAGACTGCATCATGATCCCCATCCTGTCCAAACAGGCATAGATCAGTGGCTGGCCAAGTACCCAGACGCTTGGGCAGAGACAGGAGGAATGGGATTAGCTACACATCAGCCACCCCTAATTATTGAACTGAAAGCCACCGCGGCACCGGTGGCTGTTAAGCAATATCCTATGATGGCCGAAGCCCGCCAAGGAATTAGACCACATATTAAAAGACTGCTAGAGCAAGGAATATTAATCCCCTGCCGGTCAGCCTGGAACACTCCTCTGTTGCCTGTTAAGAAACCTGGAAGCGGGGATTACAGACCAGTACAGGATTTAAGGGAAATCAATAAGCGGGTAGAAGATATCCACCCCACGGTCCCGAATCCTTATAACTTGCTGAGCACCTTGTCTCCTAGCCATACTTGGTACACTGTATTGGACCTGAAAGATGCCTTCTTCTGTCTAAAGCTGCACCATCAGAGTCAGCCCTTGTTTGCCTTTGAATGGAAGGACTCCGACCTGGGAATTTCCGGACAGCTTACTTGGACACGGCTGCCACAGGGGTTTAAGAACAGCCCCACCCTTTTTGATGAGGCCCTACACCAAGATCTGACTGCTTTCAGGACCCTCCACCCCCACCTGATCCTGTTACAATATGTAGATGACATCTTGCTGGCGGCAGAGACACAGGAGAAGTGCCTAGCAGGTACGGAGGCTCTTTTGCAAGAATTGGGACAGATGGGATACAGAGCCTCAGCAAAGAAGGCCCAGCTCTGCCAGAAAGAGGTAACCTACCTGGGATACCGGCTAAGCGGAGGACAGAGATGGCTGACATCAGCTCGCCAGGAGACCATCTTGGGCATCCCAGCACCTCGTGATCACAGACAGGTGAGAGAATTTCTGGGGACTGCCGGGTTTTGCCGCCTATGGATTCCAGGATTCGCAGAAATGGCGGCCCCCCTGTATCTCCTGACCAAGACAGACGGACCCTTCATTTGGGAGGACCACCACCAACAAGCCTTCGACCACATAAAGAAGGCCTTGTTGGAGGCTCCGGCTCTTGGCCTGCCTGATCTGACAAAGCCATTTGAGCTGTATGTTGATGAAAAGCTGGGGTACGCGAAAGGGGTCCTGACTCAAAAAATTGGGGCCGTGGAGACGCCCCGTAGCCTACTTGTCAAAGAAACTAGACCCAGTGGCTGCCGGCTGGCCCCCTTGTCTGAGAATGGTGGCAGCGCTGGCAGTCCTGGTCAAAGATGCCTTTAAGTTAACCCTGGGTCAGCCTCTTTGTGTTCGGGCCCCCCACGCTCTTGAGTCTCTCATCAGACAGCCCCCGGATCGGTGGCTCTCGAATGCCCGGATGACTCATTACCAGGCTTTGCTCCTGGACACTGACCGCATCCAGTTCGGACCCCCCGTCGCTCTCAATCCTGCAACCCTGCTGCCCACCACAGAAGAACCTGACCCTCGGGATGACCATGACTGTCATCGGGTTCTGGCCGAGGTTTTTGGCACCCGACCAGATCTCAGCGATAAGCCACTGGAGAAGGCAGATTACACCTGGTACACAGACGGGAGCAGTTTCCTCGAAGGGGGTCAGCGCCGAGCTGGGGCGGCAGTCACCTCAGAGAGCAAGGTAATATGGGCAGAGCCTTTACCAGAGGGGACATCGACGCAAAAGGCCGAGCTGGTGGCCCTGACGCAGGCCCTGCGGTTGGCAGAAGGTAAGAAGCTGAACGTATATACTGACAGCCGATACGCCTTCGCTACGGCACACATCCACGGAGAAATTTATAAAAGAAGGGGGCTCCTTACTTCAGGAGGAAAAGAAATAAAGAACAAAGCTGAAATCATAGCGCTCCTAGATGCTCTGTTCCTGCCAAAAGAACTCAGTATTATGCATTGCCCGGGACATCAGAAAGGAAACCAGCCAGAAGCAAAAGGAAACCGGCTGGCCGATCAGACAGCCAGGGAGGCTGCCATGAAGAGTCAAGTACTAACCACGAGAATCGTCCCCGAACAAAAGAGAGACGAGGCCATTAGAAGCTATTCCCAGGAAGACAGAGAATTACTTAAGAAAATGGGAGCCCTCAGTGATCCAGAGACTGGGTATTGGGAATATCAGGGAAAGACAGTTCTACCTCAAAAATCAGTAGAAGACCTCCTAGATGAACTTCACAAATGGACCCACCTAGGAGTCTCCAAAATGAAAAAGCTGATCGAGCGGGAAGAAACAATCCATTATCTGCTAAACAAAGATGCCATCCTACAAAGAATTGTTAAGAACTGTAAGGCCTGTGCCCAGGTAAACTGGGGCAAAAATAAAGCTTCAGGAGGGGTCAGACAAAGAGGCCACAGGCCAGGAATTCATTGGGAAGTTGACTTCACCGAGGTCAAACCAGGAATGTATGGCTATAAATATTTGTTAGTTTTCATTGACACTTTTTCAGGATGGCCAGAAGCCTACCCGACCAAGCAAGAAACTGCAAGGGTGGTATCCAAGAAGCTATTAGATGACATCTTTCCCCGATTTGGGATGCCTCAGGTAATAGGGTCAGATAACGGACCAGCCTTCGTCTCCCAGGTAAGTCAGAAGGTGGCCAGGTTACTGGGGATTGATTGGAAATTACATTGTGCTTACAGGCCCCAGAGTTCAGGTCAGGTAGAGCGAATGAATAGAACCATTAAGGAGGCTCTAACTAAATTCTCGCTAGCAACTGGCACTAAAGACTGGGTGACTCTACTGCCCTTGGCATTATACCGGGCCAGGAACACTCCTGGACCTAGTGGGTTGACCCCATTTGAAATCTTGTATGGAACCCCCCCACCAGCAGTTTCTTTCCTGGACCCTGATATCTCTAACTTTGTTGATTCACCTTCCCTCTTTGCTCACCTGAAGGCACTCCAGCTGGCTCACCAAGAGATCTGGAAGCCTCTAGCTGCAGCCTATCAGGATGCTATTGACACTCCTATTGCACCCCACCCCTTCCAGCCCGGGGACGTTGTCTGGGTACGGAGGCATCAGAGTCGGAGCCTAGAACCACGCTGGAAAGGACCCTACACCGTCCTGCTGACAACCCCTACCGCGCTCAAGGTAGACGGCATCACTACTTGGGTCCACGCTTCACACGTCAAGGCCGCGAACCCAGAACACAGGGAACTACTCGGCAGGGAGAGATGGCGGCTGACCCGGACGCCCAACCCCCTAAAGATAAGACTGGTCAAAGAAAAATAATAATCCTGTTACTCTGGGTAAATCTATTTACTTATGAATTTGCTCCCAGTGATGGGAGCCCCCATACAGCTGTGCCAACTACCTGGCAAGTAATTAATCAAATGGGCATTGTAGTATTTGAGGTCCAAAAAGAGGCACCAAAAGACACATGGTGGCCCATATTGTACCCAGATTTGTGCAAATTAGCTTTAGGGGTACAGGAGCCTTGGGACTTAGAAGGAACCCACGATACTGAAAAGGCACCCAGCATGGCGAGTCCTCCTGGGAGGCTGGGACTGGACCCATGGGGAGGATGCGGCCCTCCTGAACACCGGGCCATGTTGCGTACCTTAACCTTTTATGTCTGCCCAGGCTTTCACAGGGCTGTGTCTCTCAATCCTAAGTGTGGAGGGGGGGGCATTTCTTTTGCAAAAACTGGGGGTGCGAAACCACCGGAGATACTTGGTGGAATCCGTCCTCATCATGGGATTACATCACTGTAAAAGCAAATTATTCTCATGGGACTTTTGAGGAATGGAAAACTACTCATAAACAGGCCTGTGAGGGAAAATGGTGCCACCCCCTCTGCATAGACTTTACAAGTAAAGGTAAAGTGTCATCCCTAAATTGGGACAAAGGATATACTTGGGGAATTAGGTTATATAAAGAACGAGAAGATGATGGCCTCCTTTTTACGATTAAAAGAGTTATGTTTCCCCCACCTGCAGTAGCCATAGGTCCCAACCCAGTCATCAGTAACCAACAACCAGCTTCCCTTCCTTTACCTGCTTTGGTGCCCTCACAAACCCCAGAGACCAATGACTCTGCAGGTCTACCTGACTCTGCCAGTCTGCCTCCCACCACATACCCTGGAACAGGTGACAGGCTCCTGAACCTCGTTAGGGGAGCATTCCAGGCATTGAATCATTCGGAGCCAAATAAAACCAAAAATTGCTGGCTCTGTCTGAACCCGAGCCCCCCTTACTACGAGGGCATAGCCGTCCAAGAAAACTTCTCAGTAATACCTGCGAACTCTGCTACCCCCCTCGCCTGCACCTCTTCCACCCACACGCTCACCCTGTCTCAGGTTACCTCGACAGGCACCTGTATAGGGAAGGTGCCCGCTGGATTCACACATTGCCTTAAGAATAACTCCTCCCTTTCCCTCCAGGCCAACGCATACCTAGTGCCCCCTAATGGCACCTACTGGGCATGCAGCACAGGACTGACTCCTTGTGTCTCACTCGCTGTTCTAAATCTAACCCAAGATTTTTGTGTCCTGGTACAGTTATGGCCCAGAATTTATTGGCATGAAGACAATGAGGTATTGCAACATTATAAAGAAACACCTACCCCTGTCAGATTCAAGTGAGAGCCTTTGAGCATAACCTTAGCTGTATTATTGGGAGCTGGGGGAATAGCAGCGGGCATTGGGACAGGAGCGACTGCTTTAATCCGCTCAGATCAGTACATGCTCTTACATCAAGCCATGAACCAAGACCTAATAGCCCTAGAGGAGTCCATAAGAACCTTAAAAGACTCCCTGACTTCTCTCTCTGAGGTAGTGCTGCAGAACAGGAGGGGACTAGACTTGTTGTTCCTAAAACAAGGAGGTTTGTGTGCAGCCCTAAAAGAAGAATGTTGTTTTTACGCAGACCAAACAGGAG